TGGAATGCTCCACAATGATTTGGGATATTCTAAAGCGTTCCAGATTATTCCCGAACATTGCAGAATGTTTCGGGATGATCTGGAATGTTGAAGAATGCTCTCAAATGCTCTGGACTGTCCTAGAAATTTCTTGAGGGCGAAATTTTCAGCCATTATATATTCAAAAGTATGCTCTTCGGATAAAAACCGGAACATTCTTCATGGATGGGGCATAGAGGACTATCACACCATATAACTCCCTTTATCGTACCGAGACTCGTTTCTGAAAATTAGCGGCACTCACATTGTACACTTACTTTTATAATATGCATTGATTAAATATTTAGTGCTTTGGAATCAATGGCACTAAAACGTGCTAGTGATATAATTTTTGTAAAAATTCAAATAAAAATTAGTTTCTCTTCTTTTGAAAATTTCTGACTTCCAAACTTGAGATCAATTAACTCAAAATTAAATAACAAATTCAAATACTTCCTTTGGAATAATACCACAACCAATAAAAAGTATACTGCAGTGAATATAATAAGACTTGCCTAATCATCATATCAATATTTTAAAAGCTCTTGTCATCAAAACTAAGCTTATCAAAGTATGTCATGTATACATTAACTTGTTTTAACGATTAATGTACTAATCTGAGAGACAAAGTCCAATTAAAACAGTTCATCTTTATGTACATGTCCATACCACTTAATTTCTAACTAAAATACGTACAGGAAACAAAATTTCAGTTAGTTTAGCTGTCAAAAGTGTTAAGAAGGACAAATATTCTTCAGCTGTGAGAAAGAAGCACTTAACGTTAAAACAGAGTAGAACACTGAGATAAAATCCTTTTGTATCCGTTGGAAACATAATGTATTTTTTTAACATACCTAAAACAATCCAGATCGGCAAATTTTTATTTCAAATATGCAAAAAGACCATATTTATAAAATTTTATTGCTTGTATTGCTATTGAAACACAATGATTCTTTCAAAGAGTACTATATCATATTTACATCTACAAAATGTTTTACTGTCGTGAATTTAAAAAAACAAATTCCTAGAGAATTCAATTAGTCATATATGATTTCTTTCATTGCGAACAAACGGTATAGCACGCTATTGAATTTTATTACTTAATCTGAAAGTCGAGGAAAAAGCACTCAACCAAAAGGTTATACTTTCACTTGAAAGATCTGGAAATAAATATTAACTGATTATTTCTTCCTCAAGAATCAATATAAAATATCGTGAATCTGAATGATAAAAATTATAAATAATTTATTATTCCTTTTAAAAATACACCTGTTACTATGTGCACCCATTATGGTTTTTAAATTCAAGCTAGAGACTGATTAAATTATCATTGCTTTATTTTTAAGACCCATAATTCAGGGAACTATTTGACAGAACTGGGGAAAAATTTTATTTCAGATACGTTATTGCATTTATCATAAGATGACGCACACAATTAGTTTGGAATTCAAATTTTCAGCATAAAGATTGATTTTAATTAATTTGCTTCAAGAAAATTTGATAAATGGACAAAATTAAAACGCTTTTTTTTTTAGCTTTTAATTTAGAATAAATAAGTTATGTTTAGCTAATTTTTTTTCTCTTAAACATATTTTAGTTTTTCGTTTATTATAAAATTTTGCTGAAAATGTATGATGTATTTTGAACTGAAATGCGTTTATTTAAGAAATTCTGTTTTCCTTGTGGACAAAAAGTTCTTTTATGCTTTAATTATAAATAATCCTGATGCGTTTATTTTAACATGTGAAAAAAATTTCGATTTTTTTCACATGTTAAACTCAGAATGTAGCTTAGAGTAAATTAAGTCCAACTTTTTAAAATTAAAAAGAAATTCAATTTTATAAATTTCTTTCAAAAATTTAATTTAAATTAATGTTTAAATTTTTTTATACTTGTATAAGGTATTTCTCCCACTTTCCTAACGTACCTTCGTGGTGTAGTGGATCTGCACGCTGAGCCGGTATTCCAGAGGTCCATGGTTCGATTCTCGGCGAAGACTTTTGCTCATTTTTCATCTCTCCCGCTTCCGAAAAAAAAAAAAAAAAAAAAAAAAAAAAAAACCTAATGTCTCTACAGTGGCGTCCGAACTAAAAGGGTGTCGGATGAGTTTTCTCCACACCCAGGATTTGGCGATTGGGTCCCCTAAACACCCCAGTCGCTTTTTAAAATGGGCAGTATATAAAGTATTTCTCCCACTTTCCTAGCGTACCTTCGTGGTGTAGTGGTTCTGCACGCTGGGCTGGTATTCCAGAGGTCCGTGGTTCGATTCTCGGCGAAGACGTTTGCTCATTTTTCATCTCTCCGGCTTCCAAAAAAATACCTAATGTCTCTATATTTGTATCTGTGTCTATCTATCTTCTTACCTGTATATATGTATCTGTAATAATTTTAAAATGCATAGATGAAGGCACTGGAATTTTTAACAGCTTTCGATATTTCGTAGATGGCTGAAAAGACCGTAGTGGCTGAAGGTAGGAAGGACTGAGTGGAAAAGCATGATGACACATTTATTACAACTGAGCTTGAATAATCACAGTCTTTATTTTTTTACGTATATCAAATCATCCTTTTGCAGACAAGATATTTCTTAATTATATTTGAATACAATATAAGTTCCATTTTGAAGTACGGCGTCATCTTAAGCAAGTAAGCGGCAGCATGGATAAAAGTAACGTGTTGCCACCACGGAGAAGCGTTATGCGAAAAAGGGAGAAGAGTTAGTAGTACGCAGTACTTCAGAGGAAGAAGGTTGGGGGAGTCGGCAAAAGGTTCAGTTCCGAGTTTTGGTTTACAATTAATTTGATTGGACAAAGAGGCATCTGCATTAAAACGTTACGTAACATAGAAAAATCTGGAATCTGGGAGAAGATATGAATTTAGGGGCAGATCACCAAATTTAGAATGTTGATTTCGCGGTCGCCAATCATTTTTCAAAGCAGTCATCATATTTTGTTATATCTTACGTATCCCCCTAGGTCAAGACCAAAACGGTAATGGGTCGAGTTTCTTGGAAGAAAAAGCATTAAATTCACACGAATACATTTTTAACACGTTTTTATTTTTAATCAATAATGCAATCACCCTTGTTATCAGCAACCTTTTGCCATCTAGTGTGCAGATTTTCAATCCCCGAACCGATATAAATAAATTGATTTTTGAGTAAAATATCTCAAGATGGCATTTTGGACATCGTCCAAATTTTCAAATTTTTTGGCACTAATCCAATGCTGCGATATCGGCCGAGTATGGTGGGCGAGTATGGCAGTACCTCCCACCCCAATTCATTAATTTTTTCCAGTGCACAGTGCGGTCTTGCATTGTCGTGTTGCAGAAACACGCCTTTTCTGTTGACAATTGATATTTTTCGATTACAGATTGGTTCACTCCATCCAATTGTTCACAATAAGGTCTTCATTAACAGTTTCCAGGTTTCAGCAATTCAAAATGAACAATTCCGCGAATACTCCATCAAACACCCAGAAGCGCCTTTTCGGGATGTAAAACCTTTGTAACCCCTATTAAAACTGCCTTTTGTGTTTTGGGTTATCATATAGGACCCATTTTTCGTCTCCAGTAATCAAATGATCAAAAAACGGCTCTCTATGGTGCCGTTGAAGCAATACGTTGCATGTGATTGGATAGGTTGGGTTTGTTCTTTTCGGACAGATTATGAGGGACTCAAACACCTGCTTTACTTATTTTTCCATTCTGCTTTAAATGTTCTTGGATGGTGGACCAAGTTTGGTTAAGAGTGTTTGACATGGATTTGCTTCCATAGTAAAGTTAAATTGAATTTAAATAATTCTCTTGCGCCATTGCTGCAAGGAATGAAATTTGAATTTAACAAATATTCTCTCTTCGTATAAAGCTAATTTATAGTAATTTTAAATTTAAAATTTAATTATGAAATTTTAATTGCAAATATAAAAGATTAATTATTGCTGCAAACTAATTTACAATATCATTTAAATTCTTAGAGCATATGTAAATTAAGTGCACATATCTAATACCATGAAAAAATATATAATATTCCAAAAAATTAATCCCAACAATTTTTTTAAAGAATTTCTAAGACCAAATTAATTTGCATAAGTGAATACTTGTTGAGCAGGCAGGAGACAGATCTCATTAAGGGGAAGTTTCCGTCAAACCTAGTTCTTCAATTACTCAATTCGTGTTTCGTTATCCATATAGGCAAGGGTATAGTAATATTCAAAACCAAAAGTAAAACCAAATGTTGTGAATTACTAAAAGGAAAATTTAGCAAGTAAATTGACTAGGAATTAAAATATTAATTAAAAGGTAAACTGCCAATATAATAGAAAAGCATTTTTTTAGAAAAACCAAAGTAATTTAGAAACTCTTGCCTATTGGAAACTTCCCCCTACACGAATTATGCATGTAAACTAAAAATAAACTCTATACAATCTATCAAAATACAAAAATATATAAAAATAATGCTAAAAAGGCTAGTAAATAGCAGGTTTCTGAAAGATCCATTTTTCAGGAATACAAATGTGTAGTTACTAGTTAAATTAAATTAAATCCTGCTATTTGCTAGAGTTTTTAGTATTATTTTTATATATTTTTGTATTTTGATAGATTGTATAGAGTTTATTTTTAGTTTACATGCATAATTCGTGTAGGGGAAGTATGGTATTGTATTTTATATATGGTGTATATATGGTATTTTTATATATATGTCATGGCATTAGATACGTGCACTTAATTTACATATGTGCTTTGAATTTAAATGATATTGTAAATTAATTCTCAGCAATAATTAATCTTTTATATTTGCAATTAAAATTTCGTAATTAAATTTTAAATTTAAATTAACTATAAATTAGCTTTATACGAATAGAGAATATTTATTAAATATATGTATAGTTTCATGTTTCTCTATAGCCATTAATTTTCTTTTTCTGCAGAAATTTCTGATTAGAAATATCCAAATATTTAATTTATAATTTTTATTTCAGGTAGTTTTGGTCACTTCTGTGGTGCCGTACTGAAAGTGCTTCCTCCTCACTAGTGGTTAAAGGGGTCCCGTGACCCGCCCTTTTGAGGGCAAGCAACCAAGATGGGGGTGGCGGAAGAAGATGTAGCCCCAACTTTCACTAAAAAGCCCACTCTTCGTCAAGAAGATGATGGCAATAAACTGGTATTCGAATGTCAGCTAGTTACCAATCCTAAGGCTGACATCCAGTGGTACAGGGGTGATGTACCACTACACGATGACCGCAGGACTAAAGTGACAATGAAAGAAATAGGACCTAACAAGTATAACATTACTCTTGAACTGAATGATGTATTCGAGACAGATGCAGGAATGTACAAAGTAACGGCGAAGAACAAACTGGGAGATGTCTCGGCGTCCATTAATTTAAATTTCAGTCGTAAGTACCAAATTTTGTCTATGCGTTTTAAAACAGCGGCACATTATAACTATTATTATACTGCATATAATATGTCAATACATTGTTGAAACAATCTTTGAACATTTTATGTCAATACCTTTTGTATATACAGAGTGCCCCAAAAGATCTTTAATAAAACTTTGCATGCTGGTCTGTCAGAATATGGCGAACAAATTTTACATAGGAAGTGGCGTCTAAAACCCTGACCAGCTATCGCAGGCGTGCTGAAAAGCTGAGAGCTGGATCACTTCAGGCGAAGATGTTGCGGGAGAAAAGTGCATCAGTTCAGTAATGAGGAACTGACGAGCAAGCCGCGAGACATATGTACCGAGAGCGCCTCCGATAAACAATGGGGCCCACTAGTGGCCGAACGGTAACAGTAGTTCGGTCCGAGGTTCAAATTCCGCGAACGGGCTGGATGCATGGCCGTTTTCGTGGTTTTCCCGTGTGTAATGTGTATGCGAGAGAGTTTTCATTGGAAAATCCTCCACGAAGGGCTAGAGCTTTCCCAGTAAGCAGACACATTGGTCGCAACGTACTACTTGGACAACTCCGTAGAGAAAGCTGTGCTGTGGGAAATTGACAGGAGATGTGTACTCGCAAGTCACGTTCGACTACTCTGATACTTGTTCGAGAATTTCTCTCAGTTTCTTCGTAATACTTATTTTCTCTAAGAAGTATTAATTACTCCACGGCAAGAGTGCATGTAACCTAACTTCCTGTGTAAAATTTATTAATCGAACTTCTAGTGTAACATTTCAAACACAACTTCCTGTGTAAAATTTATTTCCCGTGATCTGTCAAATCAGCACGTTAAGTTTGTAAGCGACCTTTTGACCGACATGCGGTATATGTGTTCTGGCTTACAATCGATGATTTTAGGCAGTAATTCTAACTAAGTAGGTACAAAAGATGAATAATATGGAAGGAGAGGGCTCCTGAAATGGATTTAAAGTATCATACCGGGTTAACTAAAATAATACGTTGAAGAACAAATCTGGGAGACATTGAAGCAATAAGAATCAGCTTAAGTCCTTCAGCTTCGGCATTTACTGGCATTTATTTACTTGTATCATTGACTGGCAACTTACAGCGTCATCACATAAACTTCCGGCATTACCAATTTTCGGCAACTTTCGGAATCTTACAATATTTGGCATTGGACAATAAGAATCAACTTAACACTGATTCTTTTGCCTTCAGTATCTCCAACATATCGTACTTTGTTTGTTTTGTTATTATTTCGTTCCATTACGAGACCTTGAAATAAAACCTGAGATAAGGTTAACAGTTAGTCAGTGTTTAGAATTTAGTTTGGTCTAATCACTTAATACACTGCTGAAGTCCGAGAACACACTGGACATTTCTTATGAACTCCTAAATTCTGAAATTACACGAAAGTGATTGTTCTTAGTTCATGACTGACATTGCGATAGATTACTCAGATTTTGGCTTATATCCAGGTCTTATTCATTGTCTGCAACATTTCACATTGTGTTTTAACATCCCACTTTTTGCATTGTGTAACACATTGCTTCGGAAAAAGCCGTTTGTTTCTAAATACACATTCATTTGTGCTACATTTGTATTGTAAGCAAGTCGAACAGTAATCATGTCCACATAACCTCAGTTTTGTGAAGTTCGCTTTACCAAACTTCGCTTTTACGAAATAACCAAAACAGTATCTTATCTCAACTGGTAAAAGAAATCCGAAGAGGAGTGTTTTCGTTTATGAATAGGAAACAGATGAAAAGCAAGAATATCGTTCAGTGTATGTTTCATGCAACAATTTTAAAAGAGTACAACTAATTTTTGGTATAAAATACTGGCCTGAATTAAATTTGAAAGATAATTTTAATTCCTACCATACGCTAGAAAATGGAAAATGTGTGAGATATTACAACCGAGTGCATCATCTTACTTCAAGACTTTTATGTCAAGTTTAAGTGAAACACGCCAGAATTAAGTTAAAAAATCAAAAAAAAAAAAAAAAAAAAAAAAAAAAAAAAAAAAAAAAAATGCAGCTTTGGTTTGTCGTAGATTTTGAACAAATTCTATTTTATTCCCTGAAGAAGAGGAATCTGTCTTTCGTTCTCAAAATCGATATACTTTTATTCAAAGCCTATGTCAAACTAAGGTTTTTTTTTTGGGGGGGGGGCTAAATACCTTTCACATTACCCAAAGTACAACGCGTTTCAACATTCGGCTTTAGACCAGACAGGCATGTAACGTATAAACACAGTGATTTGATAGAAACAAATAGCAATAAGACAGCAATAGACGATCTTAGTGTAACATTTTATCTTCCGATGCCGAATATCCAGTGTCTTAAAGCGCCATATATACTGACTACCACTACTTTTACAGCTTTTATTTTAACGGCTGTTCTCTTATTTTTTGGTTCCGAAAGACCAAACTACATAATTCTATGTTCCTTCCAAATATATATTGTTGCGTTCTACAGGTTCGCGGAATTGGTGTAATTGACGATATCACTTGATTGAATAATTAAAATACATAAAATACATAACATAAAATTTATTCACAATTTTATGTTTTTATAGTACTACACAGTACAGTTCCCAAAACACGTTTACAGTCGTCGAAAAATTACGATAAACACGCTGAACAATCAGCAACACAGTGTTCAGGCCATAACGGTGAAATGATCTTCACGGCAAAGCACTAAAGTACAGCTCCCGATTTGGTCCATCGCGCTCTCGCTCTTTGAACTGAAGACACTACTACTACACAACTGAGCTCAAGATACTACTACTACGCATACAAGCAGGGTATATATAGCTTTAACCTGCCTTCCAGAACATTTTCGGGAAAACCGGTAACAATTCATTCTGAATGTTCTCGCTCCGTCTGTGGCATAGCGCCAATATTGTCGCCAAATGTTGCCAAGTGGGCGACTTTGCGCCAAATCTGGTAACCTTGCCTCTTCCTGCCACTTTCTGGTAACCCTAACCTCGCTCTGCGGGGAAGCTATTTTACCGCAGCTGGGCGTTTCACAACAGTAGTTATGCGTATTTAACATATTATTATTTGCTCTACTATTGCTTTAGGTTTATAGAGGTATTTGGTATGATTTGAAAGGTTTTCCTTCTGGATGAAATGATAATGCTCATATTTTCTCTTATATTAAATGTAAAAAATAAAATCTTCTTCGCTTAATGATATTAAAGCAGGTTTTAAAACATTGCTCTATTTTTGAAAAGCGGAGGAAATCTGCAACGAATTTGGAAAAGTCATCTTTAGTTCCTAAGTGTTAATGAATATACAGCATTGTGAGTCACAATCAATTATCTATAAGCTACAATTGGATTCTTCTCAGTTGCGATCCCCAAACGGACCACATACACTTTAAGATCATTAAATTATACTGAGCAAGTATGCAGCTTATCTTCTAATCCTTTCAGTTGAAATTTTAGCATGATTGTTGTCAAACTGCCGCTTTAATAAATAATAAAATCACCGCTAAATAAAAACCTTAAAACATTTATTCTCTAGCCATATGCTCTATAAAAAGTACGTTCTAGCTCTGCACTGGCGTAATTCGTAGCCTAGAATACGACAAATATATCGTTTCGTCGCATTTACTTAATAATTGTAGTTATAAACTGCCCAATCAAATTCTTTATTATTTAAAAATAGTTAAGCCTTTGAAAATATATTTAGCTTATGTATAAAGGTCTTAAGTTGTCTGTTTTTAACTAATTTTGCATCCTGAGCATATAACCAACAGATGGACTCAAAATTGGGCTCCGAAAATACCCTATGTATGGGACAGTTCAGCGTTTTTCGTTTATCAGTCTGATTGCTAATAAAATGCTTTTTAAAATGACCTATTTGTAATAATTTTATGGGATTTAAAAATGATTAAATGCTTGAAATGCAAAAGCAATAGACTAGAAATCGAAATTAGAAACTGCGATATCTGGAGAGTGTTTTATTTGGAGCTAAGACAGTTCACTTTATCTTGAGACGAAGGTTGTTATCCTCATTTAAATTTTTTAGCAATATATTAGCTCCTTCGTCATTTACATTTACACTCGCGCCCAGAATGTTACTTGTATTTTCAGCCATGCTTGTAAGAATGTGAATCATTGCCATTAATTTATTGTTTTGAAAAGACAACATATCTATAAATTTTTTGATAACAGAACCAGAATTACGTAATACTATACCTTTTGCAAAAGTCTTTCTGCCACAGAAGTAAAACTTAAGGATGAAATTCGATCGCAACGTATAAAATGGAATCATATATATTTTTTTGTTGTTGTTGATTTTTTTCAAATGGTAATATTTCAAATAACAATATATCTTTCCACATTCTGATGTTCATTTATTTGCGCCATTTAACATTATTTTAAAGAGAGAAATACCGTTGCTTTCGAAAACATTTGTTTAGTTTTAAGATTTATTTACAATATCTCCTATTTACCCTTCGCGTATTTTTCGCCGTAGGTTTTTAGCGTTAGGTTTTGAAACATTTAAAAATGTTCGCGTAATTTTCTGATTTCTCAATGCTTTCACAGAACGAGCTCCTCCAAATTTTAATACGGATTTGTCCACGTAGTGATTATTTTAATCTCACTAACAAAAGTAAGCTCTCGCAAACTACCAAACTACTACTGTTTGACTTCTAAATTAATACTATCGAAGGCCACCTCGAATTCAAATACAAGAATAGAATAATGCTATTCAAATACAAGAACCGACTCATCACAGTGAAGTAAACATGAACTGACATTCAGTGTAGAGTTTTGTGAGTAAGCTACATATTTAGTTTTTCTAATAATTCATGATGATATCAGGATTAAGGAGTAGCAAAAACAGCGGTAAAAACGGACGAAATTCAAGTTACAGGAAAATAAAAATGAAAATATCTTATTAGATATAGCAATGTTAATATTACTAGTAGTTTATCTATGTCTACTTTTCATTTGTTATATCCTTACTGTAACCGCATA